CCTGCTTGCACAGGGAGAGTGCTGGGGACTATTTTCAGGCGCTGCGTAATATCATTGCGCCTGCTGCAGTTTTAAATAGGAAAAATATAGAAACTCTTTGGTCTTTTTTGAGCGAGATGCTAACGGTCTAATCAGATTCAATGATCTATGCTAAGCTGCAGCTAAAAGTGCTACCGCCAGACCCGGAGATCGGCTGAATGGATTAGAAAACGGTAAAACTCAACTGTTTAACTCTAGGGGAGTTGGAAAATGAGCCTATGTTCAAAAATAGTGGAGTGTTCCTTTAAGTATATGTGTACAATTTATACGTGAAGTTAAAATTATATAAATGTATATGAGTGCATTTGTGTAATAATCTACAGCACTCCAACCTTCGTTTGGGAGTAGTTTCCATCTCCCCACAGCACGACACCAGCAGCTCCTAGAGCGATGCTCTCACCGATGGTGTGCACCAAGTCCTCCTGAAAACACAAACGAGTGACACATGAACCATTTTTGTTACTAATTCTTTCATTTTGATTGATAGATATTTTTGGAATCTCTCTCGGAACATTTTTTTTCCAGTTGATGAACAATAAAAACATTGACAGCCGATCAGAATCCAGAGTTTAAAAAGCGTAAGCATTTAAAGCAGCATGTGACCAAACTGTACATGTGCTTCTAATAAACAGAATGATATTGTTTGGGTGCTAATATAGTTATTGTTATAGTTATCGCTCTTGATGTGAACGGGCCTTTTTTATTGCCAGTCAGATCATAATCAATAAACATGACAATAATCACTTGAATATCAAAATATGTATAGACCTTAGTCAAGTTATTTTTTATTATTATTGAGATTACTATTATAGTCTTTAATAATATTTTGATTCAGTTTTTATTTTTATATATTTTTTTATATTTTCTTATATTATATATATTATGCTTTTAGTATATATATATATATATATTTTTTTTTTTTTCAGTTTTAGTTATTTTAGTACATTAAGTTAAACTAAATTAAAGTGAGTAATGTTGCCTTGGAAACTAGCTGAAATTAAAAGTTACATTTTATTTTATTTTATTTCAAGGAACAAAAATGTTTTTTAATGGTTTTAATGTTAATTTCAGTTTCAGCTTTAGTTAACTATGATAACCTTGGCTACCAGATACTAAACAGATTTAAAACAAGCAATAAAGAGAACAAAGTGGACAGGCCTTTGTGCTGACCTGTGAGAGAAACTCCATGGAGTAGGTGTAGGCGATCCTGGCGTAAGGGAAGACAGATGGAGGCCGATGGGTGGTCTGTTCCCTCACCCTCATGGCCTCCAGGATCCGATGCCGGCTGTACAGCAAGATATCCTGACCGCGGCCCCGGAGCCCGAGATCCAGATAGATATCAGGGTACAGGGCTGAGCTGACGTTCCACAGCCAGACCAGTTTATCATTCCTCTTCATCTCCAGAGCAGGACACTCACCTGTATACGTCTTGTTCTTCTTGTACTGATAATTATAGCAGCAGGGGAAGCCATAAAACCCCCATAGCCCTCCAGGACGCTCTCTACGGCCCAGTTTTAACGTCTCCTCCATAAAGGCCCGTGAAGCGTCCTCGAATTCCCTCACGGCTTCCTTTTCTATCTGATCCGGCTTCCAAGTAGAATGTTTGGCTTTTACTAAAGCCCTGGAGCCTTTCCAGTAGATTTCCTTAGCGTCCCAGTTACGTTCCCAGAGCGGCCTCCACTTTTCCCAGTCAATGACAGCAAACCCGTGAAATCCCAGATCTGGGATGTCAGTCCTCAGGTCGTTGTCGGCCTTCCGGAGGTGCCGGTCCAGGCTGGCGTTTTGAGGAACGCCTCCATACACTGGTTCACCACCAATACCATAGTAAGGATACTCACCTAACTTATCTGAGTAGAAGATAGTGATGTTGTCACCCATGAAGACCTGGTTGCGGTTGTGCACGATGTCGAAGACGCTCAAGTCCAGTTCGACCCCAAATCGAGACGTGCAGCGCTCCGTCGGCGCATTCCATATGGAAAAAAACGGGAGATGGGTGAGAAAGGAGGATGGACGGCCGAGAACAGACACAAAACAGATGGCAAACACCACCAGAGAACACATCCCACGTCCAAGCTTGTCCATCCCTGGAAAAGGTGACACGCTGGACCTGCAATGATGGGAACGCAGAGCGTTTAGCATCCAGCTCCACATCTGATGTCACATGAGCCGAGGCAATTTAAATTGTAATGAAGCCGAGCTACAATCTAATTTCAAAAGGTAACTTCAATGATGAGAGGCAATTTTTTTGAACAAAGGTATACTTTATCCTGAACAACTCATTATCCATAATAATCATCCACTTCAGGAAACACTGCATTAAGTGTGTGTGTGGTGTGCAGACCTTTCCCCTGTAACGTGACTTTATAATGTACATGATTTTTCATTTCACCGGGAAACAGAGGCAGGCAGAGATGAGATGGTAACTATGACAATTACTTACAAAGTGAAAATTCTTAACATTATTATTTAACATTACTAACATTTTAGGCATGTTACCATGGTGTTTTGGACACTATCATGATGCCATTTTCATAATATCCTTAGAGTATCATATTAATGTCATGATATATGAATATTGAATCTGTGTTGATACTATTATACAGTAAAGTTAATATCATGATATGATCAAAGTGTCCTAATAAAAACACAAGTACCAAAAAGTACACTTTTACCTCCATTTTTTTACAGAATTGTAGTACCATGATATATTCCAAAGTACCATAGTATTACTATCAGTACTTTTTGTAAGGGCAGTACCACAGCAACATTACCATGGTAAGTTATTTTTATGTTAGTGTAGGACACCATGGTAATTTTACACAAAACTTGAAGTTAAATAGACTCATTACACTGTCAAGATCTGAGAAGATAAGTTTAGATGTTTATGATTACTAGAAGAATAAGCGTGAAATAGATTATGCTGTTTATATTTCGGATGAGTTAAAAAGAGGAACTGTGACTTTACGCAAGAAAACCGACAGACACCGAGAATGTAGACACAACTCACGCCGTTTATGAAATACACGCGTCCATATAATCTGAACATAAATCGTACTTACTTGCCCAGTAAATCTTTACGAATCACTCACGAAATAATAAATGATTTCAGCTTCACTCGTGACCCTCTCCTGTTAAAAGCAGAAGCAGAACGTCTCGTGTCTAACCAATAGGAAAGAGGGGGCGGAGTCTAAGGAGGAGCGTATGGACGTTCGCACAGGACGCATGAACGTAGGGGGGGTTTTATATTTTTTTTTTTTTTTTTTTTTTTTTTTTTTTTTTCATTTTTTAATATGTAATTTATCACGTTTCTTACATATGCATATTTCAGGTAGGACATATTAGACTTATTACATTTTAATGTCTTTTTATAGGAATAGATTCAACAAAATGCTTTAAAAAAAGACCAATCATATTTTTGCACATATGTTTGGTTATATATTTGAAGTATCATTGTAAATGCCATGCCACATCAATATGGTAATAATTTAGTGTCATGGTATTTATCTTATTATTATGTTCTTATACCATTACTGTACTTTTTTTAAATTGAAAAACTGCTCTAAATGTCATTGTTTTAATCAAAAATGTTCTTTTCATGTAGATGTCTTGTCATTTATGGTCATGTGGGTAACAACCTTTCAAGATCATGACTTTAATTCTCGAAAACAAGGAAGCAATTTTAAAATCTCTTATCTTTATAGTTAGAAAACATCCTTTATACATGCAAAGACTAAAATTAACAAATGAGGAACTGAAAGTTATATTTGTGCATAAATCACTGCAGCTGCATGCAAAGCAACTTAGGTCACTTATAGAGTGATTAAAGATTAACAAACACACCATGTTTCACATTGCTTCCGATTCTATTTGGAGTAAAAGCTCACAAAGTTCAAAGCAACAACAAATATAACTTCTTGGTTTGTAACCCCTGTAATTTGGGTTGGTCCTTTTGCTGCGCAGATCCAAGGTTTGTAGTCTCATACGTTTCCTCCATTTAGTTAGTTCTTATTACTTCCACTAACTGAGAAACACCGAATGGTTACTGGACAAAATAAATTTGAGGCAACAAATGTGAAAAGAAATGAACACTTTTTAAAATGAACACACAAGGTTACCAGTAAAAAAAATTTAATCAAACGCAGAAATCATTTTGATCAAATAGAAAACGATTTCTTTGTGCATCACAATTTCAGAAAATCTAATTCACAATAATGTCACAATTGTGTTGGCAATTCAAAGACATAATGCAAATGCTTCTCTCACAGTCCAGTGCCTTTTTCACATATGAATACAAGCACTGTAACATAACTCTCATAAACCGTAACAATCACTGTTACAACACTGACGGAGATGCTGAACGAAGCAAAAAATGTGCATAAAAATATATGCTGATTTGGCAACAGTTCAATTAGTCCAAGAAACAAGTCAAAATAAAGAAGATATAGTCCAAAGTTACAAAAATACTTTTAAATAACTGGGTAAAAATAATGGTCAGTTCTTTAGTGGCATCTGCTTTTTTATTTTTTAGGGGGTTTTGCCTTTATAGAACAGGAAAGAATGGGAAACGGGGGTTGTGATCAGGAAATGACACATGAGCCAGATTCAAACTTAGGTCAACCAGCGTCATTGCAGGACATGCATCCTCATTTCCAGCACTAGTAGTCTCATCTTAAAGAAATATTTCACCTAAAAATGAAAATTTGCTGAAAATGTACTCTCCCTCAGGCCATCCAAGAAGTAGATGAGTTTGTTTCTTCACCAGAACAGACTTGGAGAAATTTAGCATTTCACCACTTGCTCACCAGTGGATCCTCTGCAGTGAATGGGTGCCGTCAGAATGGGAGTTCAAACAGCTGATAAAAACATTGATATTCATCTAGTTCCACCTATTCAAATCATACATGTGTATTTGCTTAACTACATTTGACGCTTGCAGCCTACATTGTAGTGTTAGATAATGTTGGGGCAAAATTAAATAACTCTCATCAGCATAAGAGACAAACTCACTCTCAGTGTCTTTTAAAGGTTTTATTCTTTGCAAAGAAGGTCAAACATCGTACAGGATACAAGTCGCTGCAGAGTGTGACAAGGAAGGGAGGGCAAGCCTCCGCTTTATACCTCTTTTCCAAGTCAAGGTTACAAACTCTTAACAACACAATATTATATCATTCTTCTAAAGACTGGTTCCCCCTATATTTAGGGCCTAGATGACCCCCTAGGTCATGGGCAGACGCCTATGAGTCTGCCAGTTGTCCTCCTCTCAGCCCAATATGGCCCTGTGGACCTCTTGTCACCCATTCATCTTAAGCTTAGGCCCCAAACCCATCTCTCACTGTGACTACACAGCAGTTCTAAGAAAACACATGCACTATGTAATGTTTCATAAGCACAAGATTATGTAAAAAGCAATACAAATGAATTTTTCTACTACAATAACCAACATCTTTATAGTGTCATCTCAAATCTACACTCAAACCAAAGCCACTTAAAACCAAATGTCCACCGGTTCAAATTGTTTTAACAGTGACTTCTGAATGAATCCACTCGTCAGTTAGTCATAAATTTTCATTAGATTTTCCTGTTGCACAATATCCTACATCTGGCTCAAATGTTGTGAGAGTATAACGTGTGACAACAAACAAAAGTGCTTATTTAAACTCCAAGGAACTCTGAGTTTCCTGTGTTTATACATCAGGTCACCCACATGACTTCATGAAAGCGAAGGACCTGCCAAACATTTCATAAGCCAGAAAATGAGTTAAAGTGTCTATGGCGTGTGCTCAGGTCAGTAAATGCAGCAGCAATGGAGTGAGAAGGTAAATCATTAATGCATTCAGTGCATGACCATCTCCTCACTGCTGAAGAGGGTCCTCGAGGTCACATCTCTCACCCTGATACCCACTAAAACACTGGCACTGGAAGTCTTCGCTCATCCGCTGCTGCTCTTCCACGCTCAGATCTCCCTTCACACGCAGTTCGCTCCCCTGGCCTACTATCGTGTGTGTCTGTGGGTCAAGATGGAGATACGTGTCCGTGTCCGGATGTCTGCGCAGACATCGGCCGTGGGAGCTGCACAGGAAGCGACTGCAATGCTCAGCTGCCGTGGAAACGTTGAGGAGGTAAAGGCCCAGTGGACCCCGCAAGTACTGGTTTAAACTGGAACAAGTGTCCTGAATGATGAAACCGATAAAGAGAAGGAAATTACGTCAGGTAAAAACTAGTTTTAAATTTTTTCAAGAAATTGGAAGTGGATGGCAGGCTGTTGCTAGGGTGTTGTAAGCACTTTATTGTGTTGCTATGTAGTTGCTAGGGTGTTTTAGGTGGTTTCCAGGGCATTGCTAACGTATTGCAGGCATTTTAGTGTGTTACTATGCAGTTGCTAGGGTGTTGTAGGCACTTTAGTGTGTTGCTATGCAGTTGCTAGGGTGTTGTAGACATTTCAGTGTGTTGTGATGAAGTTACTAGGGTGTTGTGGGTGGTTTCCAGGGCGTTTTTAAGATGTTTTAGCCATTTTAGTGTTTTACTATGCAGTTGCTAGGGTGTTTTAGGCACTTTAGTTTGTTGCTATGCAGTTGCTAGGGTGTTGTAGACATTTTAGTGTGTTGTGATGAAGTTACTAGGGTGTTGTGGGTGGCTTCCAGGGCGTTGTTAAGATGTTTTAGCCATTTTAGTGTGTTACTATGCAGTTGCTAGGGTGTTTTAGGCACTTTAGTGTGTTGCTATGCAGTTGCTAGGGTGTTGTAGACATTTTAGTGTGTTGTGATGAAGTTACTAGGGTGTTGTGGGTGGCTTCCAGGGCGTTGTTAAGATGTTTTAGCCATTTTAGTGTGTTACTATGCAGTTGCTAGGGTGTTTTAGGCACTTTAGTGTGTTGCTATGCAGTTGCTAGGGTGTTGTAGACATTTTAGTGTGTTGTGATGAAGTTACTAGGGTGTTGTGGGTGGCTTCCAGGGCGTTGTTAAGATGTTTTAGCCATTTTAGTGTGTTACTATGCAGTTGCTAGGGTGTTTTAGGCACTTTAGTGTGTTGCTATGCAGTTGCTAGGGTGTTGTAGACATTTCAGTGTGTTGTGATGAAGTTACTAGGGTGTTGTGGGTGGTTTCCAGGGCGTTTTTAAGATGTTTTAGCCATTTTAGTGTTTTACTATGCAGTTGCTAGGGTGTTTTAGGCACTTTAGTTTGTTGCTATGCAGTTGCTAGGGTGTTGTAGACATTTTAGTGTGTTGTGATGAAGTTACTAGGGTGTTGTGGGTGGTTTCCAGGGCATTGCTAACATATTGCAGGCATTTTAGTGTGTTACTATGCAGTTGCTAGAGTGTTGTAGGCACTTTAGTATGTTACTATGTAGTTGCTAAGGTGTTCAGGTGTTTTTAAAATGCCTGACATTGTTGTTATAAATGGAACAACTTTTTTTTTCAGACGTTATTTATAGGGTCAAAAACTAAGATGACGTTTTGATAGATTGTAAAGTTAATTGTTGTGATCGTTATAACAGTATAGCAGATACTTACATAATGCATGTAAATATAAGCGGTCACTTAATATCTCCCAAAAATATGTCTTAGTATGATGATATTTAAATGCTTAGTTTTATGATCAAAGCTCTGTGGTTTTAAAACATATTGCAGTGCAATACAATGCTTGAGAGATGAACAAATAAACTTTCATCAAATACCTGATGATCATATTTGATACTTCCATTTTAACATGATTTTTATAGAAAATGATGTATGGATAATCAAGTAAAGCTAAGTTGCTTCAGTCCAGTAAATGTTCATCTTGAAATATTACTAACAAGATAAAAGTCATTCTTACATTTACTCTATAAATATCAGTAAAGATTTCACAGCAAACAGACACATGAACCATGAGCTGAAGGTGGACATTTTTAACAATTAAACTAAAAACTTGCTACAAAAAATATTAACTATCAAATTAGACGACAGAGGGAATGTAGTAGATTGTGTATAACAGGTTATTCAGCAAAGTTTTGATCATGCTGATCATTTAGAGGCCTTAGAAATTTGTGCATCAAATATGATACTGTATCATATGTGACCCTGGAGCACAAAAGCAGTCTTAAGTCGCTGGGGTATATTTGTAGCAATAGCCAAAAATACATTGTATGGGTCAAAATTATAGATTTTTCTTTTATGCCAAAAATCATTAGGATATTAAGTAAAGATCATGTTCCATTAAAATATTTTGTAAATTTCCTACCATAAATATATCA